TGGTCGGCGATCATCCGCCACATTTTAATATGATCAGCCAAAAGCAAGAAATCCGAGATGATCAGGCGCATAGGCCCGTTATGAACACGAGAAACAGACGCGGCCCCAAAATTGATCCTTGTGGAACTGCACATTCCACATGAATCGGTTCGGACGGCGCGCTTCGAACCCAGTGCACCTGTAGTTGCCGATCCTACAGCAAATTTCCAATATATCAAAAGACAGGGTCCCCAAATCCGTAGCTTCCCAACTTGAGAAGTAGAATATCGTGGTCCAGGCAGTTGAAGGGTTTGGAGATAGGGAAGAAAATGACATCCGTACCTACCCGTTGTCAGCCGCTCCCGTACAACTACCGCGTGCAATCAATAGGTTGGTTGGGCATGATCGGTGCTTCCGGAAACCGTGCTGCACCGGTGCTATGATGCTGCGGCGTTTCAGATGATCGACTAAAGCCTGCGTGATAAATGCCTCCATTGCCTTTGAAAATACAAGCTGGAGGACAACTTAGTGATAGTTTGCAGGTTCCAAGAAAATGCCACTTTTAATAGTTAGTGTTGTTAATCCATCTTCCAGTCTACGAATAAAAAGATAACAAAAACCATGAAAATCAAAGGAAAGTACATCAGTCATAAAAATAAGAACGAAAACAACACAGAGAAATTCTTGGTTTCGTCAGAGAGCGACATACTACCCCATTGCTCAAGTTCAAGCAGGGAAACAACCCCGAGGCTTGGGCAAAATAGTCTACCTCCAAAGCAGCGGGGCGAATTCAGGAAATTGCGCCCATTGGGAGCCGGTGACTGCTTAGTTCATATACCTTTTCTTTGGGCAGTTGTCAAACAGGGACGCAATCCTTCCCAGAATTCGAGCTTCGAGAATAGACAGAGAGCATCCTCTAAGGCACTATAACAAAACGCGAGAGAGATCCATGGCCGAATCGGATATAACGTGCCCCAAAAGTCAACAGCGCGAATTGAGATCAACAACGGTTGTAGATTAAAGTGCACCTGCAAATCAATAGCGCGCATATGGTCATCCCAACCGGAGTAGCCCGTTTTCTCGGACCATGGACTACAACGAACTAAACTAGCACCTCAATGAGCAATCCGCAGAATGGAAAAGAAATTCACTAACCCCAGGTGTAGCTGGGTGTACTGATGGATTTAGTGGTACATGAGCGGTGTCCTCAAACTTACACAAACTTAGGCTAAAAACACACACATACACACGAAATCGGCATAGACTGCCAAGTGATATCAGTGAGCGAAACGATGCAAATTCGCATGAACAAAGACGAGAGAATGAAACAAAGCAACGCCGAACGTCAACGCAAGCACCGATCCCACGAGCAGTACAACAATTTGACGGGAAGACTCGTCTTCGCATGTGACTAGCTTGATAGTAAGTGTCGGTTGCATTAACATGATAAGGTGCATCTCGAAACAATTCTTTGTCTGTAGTATGTTAATGTGCGCACTAGCGTATGAATGGAATCATAAGGTCCTGTCGCCAATCACTGAACACGTGTGAATGCATTTCTTCCGGCACGTCCGAATCATGCTGCTCAATGGACGCGGAAAGTCTGTTAGTGAAATATAACGTGGCTGACAGGCAGCGATCTGCGATGAAGTAATGGCTTTATCCACTCATTGCTGAATCGCCCACTACGAACTGTTGCCTCATGTACATATGATATATAATCTTACAATCTGAGACTAGTATCAGGCAAAAGTGGGTATTAGCTTAAACATACATTTGCCGCAGACGCTTGTAACCACTAAAGAGGAATGCACCACGAAGGTGGATCCGTCTTCGTTCAACATGCACGACATCAGCATCCGTGTCTAAATGACGAGTCATTCGTATCAGACGCACACAAGGCGCGCCGTAGCCCGATCCACACCAGATCAATGGAACCATACTTTGATCCTAGCAGGGTCACGAGCACAGTGCACCCCATCTCGGTAAGTAATGGCCAACTGTCTCCTGGAAACAATATAAACGAGGTATCGGTTTTTGACAGGTAGGCAACCTGTCAGTATTCACGTCAAGCGTAGTCACACTGTCAATATCAAACGAGAAACACAGAACAAGAAACTAAACAGAAACAGGACAGTAAAGGTGCAGCAGTATAGCAGAACGGAGCTGGTAAAAATGAGTTTTATGTCTGGCGTAGTGTAAGGTAAATTTAGAGGACACCAACTGACTGGGACCGAAAACGATATATGAAACGCGCAAAACCAATCAGAAATATGTGGAGTTAGAACAGATCGGATTCAGTCATCTCTAGTGTAAAGCAGAACAAGCGTGAGCGTAAGTTCCCTGAATCAAACTGCGGTGGAGAGGCATATTAGATGGTATATATATGGTTGGCGGTATCCGGTTTCGGATTTGCCTGTCACTGTGGCCAGCCACAGGACGCCTGCGCCTACAGAGGGACCATGGGTGGCTTGCGCTGCACCACCCACAGCTCCAACCACACACCCCATATCCAGTGTAAACCCGAAGGAATAAGACCGGGAGGCATGTGGATGGGAGCCACGTTTCATCAACGGAGCCGGCCCACACTCCTTCACAGGCAAACACAAGCACGCTGTATTTGGGGAATCAAGCGCACACAAGGCGGTGACTGGACCGTAGTCCGCTCCACACTGAGTGCATGGAACCACTCTTCGAGCCTAGCATGACCACAAGGACCGTGCACCCCGTCCCCTCCAGCAACGACCAACTGTCTCCTGGAGCCAGTATGGACGAGGTAGTGGGTAATAGATAGGTAGGCACCTTGTCAACATGCACATCAAGCGCAACCACACCGAGGATATCAAGCAACAGCCATTCACTTGAAACGACAAGATAAAATAAAATAAATCCAATAATGCATACAAATACGGTGGCATAACTCTTCGCTAAATTACCATATGAAGTAAGTTGGTTAGCAACGAATCCGCGATAAGTAAGAAATGTCCACAAGTTACTTAAAAATGCTACAAACACAACAAAGTTACCGAAGATAAGCGCAATTAGCGTAAGCAACGTGGCCAGTTAATAGAAGATTATTCAGGTAGGCAGAACAAACCAAATAAAGTGGAATGAAATTTATCCAGCTTAAAAAGATCTAGTTTAAGTGTAAGTTGGTTTAGCCCAACTGCGGTGAAGAAGCATCAAGAATGCAACATCAGCCTCAGCATGGGGCACATATATATATAACATCCGCCTCTTAGTATTATTATTATTCGTCCGTGATTAATATAACTATGTAAGCTCCATCTTGTTGCTCACCAGACTATGTGAGGCTGCCACTATCCCTTTTGCTACATACATTCTTCAGCTTGAGATCGATTCGTAGATTATATGAGCGAATATCAGCCAGCTGCCCAATACAAACTAGCACGACATTTAGTGAGCCGGTTCATCGCAGGATAAAAGATCAGTCCGTCGATGAGGTCATTCGCATTTCGCGTGGGTGCGGTTTCTGAGCGAATTGAGCTGTTGATACGGATCTAAGCTAGGGCGACAAATTAGTATGTTTCCAGTTCAGTAGATACGCGTGAATCAAAGGTTACCAGCGTTTTCCCGCTTACAGTACCCATAAAGTGTAAAGTATGAAATTTAGAACACAATGTTAAACGATTTTCCTTCGTGTGACCATGTTGGACCATTCATCCGAAGATAAATTGTCCTGGGAAATCCGTAGCAAGTGAACAATCCCGATGAGTAACTGGCCAGCGTTTATCACCATATCGACAGTTTATGTTCCGCTCCACATGTTAGTGATGAGAGTGAGCAGAGCTATATTACCTGTTGTTCATCAGCCATACTGAATGCACCTGCGCGCTTATGAAAACGCAGGTACTATGCGGATTGAAGGCGAAAGCGCAGAGGTGCCTACCAGAAATTGAATTGTACATGGTCTATCTACTGGGTAGACTAAGAAGGTAATGCCAACGGCAACGGTACGTCAGTCTCTTTGTATGTTACATCGGAAAGGAATCTGCGCATAGCGACAAGTTTAGGAGCGTCGAATGGCCTCACCCGACATACGATGCAAGTCTTTAGCAAATAGATTATGGTCACAGCCGAGTACACAGCGGTAGGTACAAACGGTTGAGTACTTGGATGACAGCTATGCTACTTCTCGGACATTTGCAAAACTGCGAAGACTGTTTTGAAAGCCGAATGTTTGACAGTAAACAGCGGGACTTAGTTGATGTAGCACTGCGGTTGTTGTCGCGCCAAAGACGCCATAAGCTGCGAATATGTGATATTACTGCCTGTCAATGCTTGAGGTTGCGCAAAATACGTCCTTTGAGAATCCGCACGAACCTCGGGCAGCAGATGATCGGACCAGTCCAGTCTTAAGCGGCGGTCGGCAACACGAAGGGCCTGAAGTTAACACTTCATCGCATCCGCACGCTGTGCAAACTCCTGCATCAGCTCCGCAGCAACCCAAATAGACCACTTGTTTAGTTATCATTCTAGCTGGTAACCGTACTGATTGCAGTTGCTTCTTTGTTTCTATATCAGTTTCGTTCAAATATTGCTGTCCAAGATTTAAGGCTGCCATTTATATTCACATCTAAATGTTAAAGAAAACACCGACAGCTCGTAATAGGTACTTATTTTCGTGTGTGCGATTTTCAATCATTTTGAGAAAATGGTTGTTAGAATCACTTCCAAATGCAACCAGTGCATGTTTGTAGTACTATTGTTCATGATGTTTAAAGGTGACTCTGCAGTTTGTGGTAGTTCATACTTAAGTTTGGACAAACGCATGTGCAGATGTTGTAGTTGAACGGCCAGTGGACACGGATGACGCCAATCCATGTATATATGTATACCGAATGAGTTCGGCAAGGATACTCATGCAATTTTTGTACGGCCAACTTAGTGCAGGGAAGAGGCACGCGGACGGATTTATAATAACTAATGAGTATTGGGAATTTGGGTGTAATTTTTTGGGATAACTAGAAAAAGTAAATAATCTAAAAAACAATACTCACTCGAGTGCACCGATTCGACGTGATTCATCAATACACTTTTTCGAAAGAAGCATCCTCCACAATGCTCACATCTGTAGGGCTTCTTTTCTGTGAGAACAAATGCAGCAATGCTTACAACAGTAAAGACGTAGAGAAAAGGTGACGATATATGTGAAGTGCTTCTAAATTGATTGATAACTACAGAGCATTTCAGTTCCACTATTAAATCAGAGATGTTACGTAAACTAGGCAATAGTACTGATGTATCCCGTGGCACTCTGGTTTCCTAGGTCAGCAAACAAGGTTGTACTGTGTACTCGATTAGGAAACATAATGAACAAGAAGATTGCACATAGCAACAAACCGCGATGTCTCAACAATACACCGACTGCGAGTCATGTGAAGTATGGATTAGGACTCAGCATTACAGAACGAGTGCGATTAAATGATTCAAAACGCCGATAAAGAAAAAATGGAAAAGTACCATATACATTTGGTCGACGGCACAATGAGGGGGCAAGAAAAACGACCCAAAAATGAACGACCCGCGGCTTCGGCTGCATCCGACGAAATATATCACGAGAATGTGATTTCGGTAACACAATCGCCAGCAAATTCACCCACTAACTGGAAGAAGGCATAGCTATCAACATTCCAGCGATAATTCAAGTCAATTTACACCGTTTAAATGATCAGTGAGCACATGGTCAGGTGCTTTCACAACATTCACGGGAGTTCGGGGCCACTATCGGAGCGCCCGCGTTTACTCCTAATCGGTACGGAACAAGTACAAGTACAAAGGGGAACTAGTGCTACTTAAAACAGTTATGACAGTAAAACTTGCTCAATTAAACCGATTGCAATGACCTAAGTAAAACGCGAACGCTCGTGTCGCAGTGGGCAACTACCTTGCCATCCAAACAACTACATATAGCATATCAACAATGGGATATGAAATGAAGCATGGCTTCTCAATGACAAAGAGAATACAATACTTGTAACAAATTATGCCCTACATTTGATAAATATGGTCGTATTTTCATGAGTAGCACCTTTAACTGTTGCACTCGTTTGCATGACACGGGAGCCCGCTAAATCGCCAACTGTCCAATCGTAAATGTGTGTTGGCCGAAATTTTGCGCACCGTCACAGGGGGTGACGAATGCATAACCAGCACGGCTGCAGCCCCGCTACTGGTCTAGTTACGATGTATGGGTGGACAAACCAAAACGTCGGCATTCTGCACTGATTGAGGAATGCATTGTCAGCACGCCGCAGCCCAAGGAATGGTCTGGTCACGATCGATGGGTACACGGCGTTCAGCCAGGTTAATAAGCAAGCCAGAGCGATTGCTATTATATGCTTATTGGCGCGCTGTTTTAGCGGTGGAGAACAGCCTGGCCCTGAGCAATTAATGTTGGATGAGCGAAACACCATGGTGGCCAACGCTGTTATAGCCTTATAACTCGCTTCCAATAGACTGGTAGCTTTTACTTGGCTGCTCTCATTGTTAAGTTGAATCATACAACCGGAACCACTTCATGTTTTTTATTCTCACGTTACCGTCTTGTTAGCTTTAGACAGTGCTCTTAGCATCCATTCCAGCCAGAAAAATCATCGGCACCACTAAGCATCGCACCCATTTAGTCGTGAATTCATTCGTTATAGAGGATAGGTATATTTACATAAAATCTGTTTAACGGACACAAATACCAACGAGGTATAGGTTCAACGTGCCCATCGTCGTTTTGCTTGGAGAGCAGAATACCACGAATGCTATTCGCCAGTACGTTTTGCAATGTCACCACTACGATCCCGCGACATTCGTTCGACATGCACCGTTTCAGTTCTTCGAGACAATTGGGTTTGGTTTTATAAACGCTTCGTTTTAAGTAATCCAAGAGGTACAAATCAGGTAACCATGCAGGTCACTCTATTGGATTGGTATTTAACATTGTCCACTTTGAGCATCCGTGTCTCACCTGACCGCTCGCGTAAACGGACATCCCGTTTACTTGCTCAAACACATTTGGTGAGACAATTTTGATCTCATTCGCAAATGGTTCGATCAAGCCAGGCGGCGTAACCCGTGTTATGGACATGTACACTGCCACGGCTGCGTTCGTCCGGAACTGTTCTGATTTCCCCTTCACTAATGGTTCGGTAAGGTTCATCGTCGCTGTCTTCAATGCCTTCGGTTTGATGTCCTCCAAGCCAGGTGAGCTGTGCACGCGTAATGACATTAGACTTTTCATCACATTGGTTGCCGTGAACATTACGTGGGTTAACCCTGGTGGCGATGGGAGTTGTGTCAAAAGTGGGTGAAATGATGATTCTCTCTGGAAAGTGTGGATGAAGTGTTGGCGAAGCAGGTTGGCCGCATCTTGTGTAGTTTGCGCCAGACCATCTGTTGCACGTAAAACTGGGATCCCGCGCTGCACTCTGCGGAGCTTGTTGACATGTCTATACAGCAACTTGGGATTTGTAATGAATTCCGCCGCTAAGTTCTGTAAGGAATGTAAGTGCCACGAACCTGACACACACATACAATGAATCGTCGTCGGAAGAACAAAGAGGAGTTTGGGGAACGGATGTTCGCTCGAACATTATCACGATACCAAACGAAATGAGAGAGCGTGGTCAGGCGCACGACCGGAGTGAGTAGCGAGGCCACTTGTTCTCGACCCGGTCGATCAGGTGCGTGATGGGATGGGCACCGGGAAACATTCGCGGCAACAGTGAATGCATGAACAGACAAGGGGGAAATACACGATTATGAGAAAAGGGGTTGTAAAACAGGTGCGACGAAGCAGGGAACGAAATTTTTTTATGTTTAAGGGGAGCACTTGCGGAACAAGATATCAGGAGCCGAATCCACTTACTGAATCTGCAGACCATCCATCCGCGTCACTAGACGCAGTTCAATTGTTCTCCGAGCTTGGCGGATTTGTCGCCAAGCTCGGAGAACAAATAAACAATTGAATCATCAACCAGAGCTACCAATATTACGAAACGCTTTAGATGCAGTTGCAACTTCCTGATTCGGACCTTTATCCCCAGGTTTCCCAACTGGTATGTGATTTCGTCCATTCATCACCCTCTCGATCTGACCGGAGTCTTGTCTATCGAGGAGACCATGGATGCACCACTTGGCCGTACCGATCACGCGAAGTTGCGCTTTCGTTACATCTGTTACTCGGAGTACATTAGTGAGAACAACGTGGAAACCTATGTCGTTACACATTACGATATCCTGTCCAAACGCATGGGATAACTTGAGAGCAACAACATCCTAGTTTCACCGCAGTATGGATTCCGCCGAAAGCGGTCTCGAACTGCAAACTTGCTTCTAGCTCAAGCAAGCTGGACAGAGTCAGCCGATGCCGGAGTGGCAGTCGACGTCGTCTACCTGCACTTCTCGAAAGAGTTCGATAGTTTGAACCCCCGCATTCTACTGCACAAGCTATAGAAATGGTGAGCCTGTGCTCAGCTGGATCGACAACTCCCTCACTCAAGGTCAGCTGAATCTGAGAGTCCGCAGTTCAATTTCTGATCCAATTGCTGTCCAATGTGGCGTGCCCCAAGAATCGGCACTGGGCCACGTTTATTCCTAACATGCATTAACCTCCTTGCTAGTGTACTACAGTAGGAATTCTTACTATTTGCAGATGATATCAAAATTTGGCATGACATCAGGACAGTGGATGATCACATGGCATTGCAGAGCGATCGCGACAGGGCTTATGCGTGCTCATCCGATAACCTGCTCCAGTTCAACGTGGCGAAGTGCAAATTCGTGAGCATATGCCATCCGCTTACCCATGTATATCGAGTTGAGACCAATAGCCAAATAAACATATATGTTAATGACTGTCAGCGAATACCATTTGTCCATCCAACGTCAGTACACAAGTACCGAGGATGCAGGTCTGTTGGCTTGGCATTCAACCATCAGCGCAGTCGTCCACATCCCTGTGGCTTGGTGAGGGAAATTTAGAGGGACCAACATCTACCATCTGACAGATGGTAATTTAGTGCGCTCTCGTGTCACCCTAAGGCGTGCACCTTGTTCACCGAGCAACGGACTAAAAACCATAGTACAATGCCTACTAATGATAGGTTCACGCTGTTTTACTGTACTTCACGATTGCATAACCTCATCCATTATCAGTTTCAATCTTTCGATAGTGACAAATCTACTGACGTAATCAAAGGCTGCAATCTTGGTTCTCGCCTACATTCTCCGCGAGCATCAACAGATACGGCGTGTTGTAGCGCACTTTGCGCACGCTACTCGCTTTGCTCTGTACTGCCATTTTTGACAATGAATCCCCCTTTGTGACGATTGCCGTACGATTTGGATCAGCATCTCTGTGCTGACACTTCGATTCATTCATGCATTCCCACGCCTTCGCACATGTTCACTTGTTTTTAGGCACTTTCAAACGCTAGTGCGTGTATCCTCTGCTACCCCTCCAAATGCTGAGTATGCATGGTTGGCGGCATCCGGTTTCGGATTTGCCTGTCACTGTGGCCAGCCACAGGACGCCTGCGCCTATAGGTGGCCCATAGGTGGCTTGCTCCGCACCACCCACAACTCCAACCACACACCCCATATCCAGTGTAAACACAAAGGAATAAGACCGGGAGGCATGCGGATGGGAGCCACGTTTCATCAACGGAGCCGGCCCACACTCCTTCACAGGCAAACACAACCATGCTGTATTTCGAGAATCAAGTGCACACAAGGCGGTGGATGGACCGTAGTCCACTCCACACTGAGTGTATGGAACCACTCTTCGAGCCTAGCACGACCACAAAGAACGTGTACCCCGTCCCATCTAGCAACGACCAACTGTCTCCTAGAGCCAATATGGACGAGGTAGTGGGTAATAGACAGGTAGGCACTTTGTCAACATGCACAACAAGCGCAGTCACGCCGGGGATATCAAACAGCAGCCAAACACTTGAGAGAGAGAGGGAGGGAAAGCAAATAACTCGATTAATGCATAAGGAAACGGTGACGTAAACCTTAAGTAAATGAGCATATGAAATAAGTTGTTTACAAACGAATCCTAGATAACTTCGCGAGGTCAGAAAGTAGACTT